TTGTTATGCCATAGCTATGAGCATGACCATCATAGCTTAGTCGAATGTAATGCAGAGTTGGAAAATGGCAGAACAAAAGATGCCTGGTTTTAAATTACTTACAAGTAGAAATCTGAAAAGTGCGGCTTATTTTGTCCCCAAGTAGCTGTGCAGTAGAAAACCTGAGCTCAGGTGACGAATGGATAACTATGGGTCATGGATTCAAAAATATCTATAAACAAATGTGGCATGACCTTAAGAAGTGATGTTTAGCCTACATGTCCATCATCTTCAATACACCATTACTGAACATGGTGGTGGCAGCGTTATGCTGCAGGGATACTAGTTGCAGTCACTGTAAAACGGAAGATGGTTGGAACTCAACTCAAGAAATCAGATGGAGATCCTTAAGAGACTACAGCATAAGACAGCATCCCTAAACAAATATTCTGAGATAGAAAGGGATGGTTTAAATCAAATGGAATGGTCTAGTCAAAGCACAGACCTAAATCTAACTGAGAATAAGCAGCACTCTCCATCCAGAGCTTAACCAAGATTGTAAATAATTCGTTTTCACCATATAGGGTATTTTCCTTCTACTCTGACAACATATAATAAATAGTGCCACTGCAAAAAAATGATCTAAAAATTAGAAACATTTTATTAAAATAAGTGCATTTATTTGAGTATATAAATAAGACGAGTAAGAATGAGTATTTAATCCTTAAAATCAGATAATTAGATAATGCACTTGAAAAAGGAGTTTATTTTTTATTTTAAATGTAAATTGTCGCATTCCTTTCACAAAGTGCATTATTTACCTGCTCAATTTTTAGAAAAATCTTATTTAAAAAGTAAAATGACTTATGTAGATTTCTATTTTTTACAGTGTAGTTAATTGCATGGAATCCTGGTAAAAAAGAGTTTTTTGTGTGTCAAAAAGTATAAAAGGTATTAATCTATCAGGACGACACCATAGAGGCAAAGGTTTTCTGAAGGACAAAGGGGACTGACATATGTAAAAAAAACAACAAAAAAAAACAATACAATCTGAATTTAATATGATAATGGCAATCCAGTATAGATGTTTTAGAATGAGAGGTTAGAAAAGCCTGTTTATTACAGCAGGATTAACTGAAAATGAAGATGAATATGAATTCTGTCAATAGTTGAGTTAATTTGGAAATTTCACTAACTGTGGAGGTTTTTCCCCATATAACCTGTGTGTCTTTGTATGTTTCCCTCTCTGCAGTCCCTCTCTGCTTCTGTTTATGTGGGTAGAACTGCTATAACCCTTTATCTGACTTGTATTAGATGAACTAAACGAAAATTTTTTTTGCATACACTCTGTGTATACAAAATGGCAAAAGTTGTCAAAGTCATTCTGAGTCCAGCATGCAGCACCGAGGCATAAAAATCAAAGATCCAGCATGTTCTCACTTCTGGCTTTTTTACTCTTCCAGGAATAACTGAGGGCTACATCCACGACTCCGCAGCGTAACGCCTGGACTCTCAGAAGGCTCCTCCTGTACGAATGCTGCAGCTCGCTGCTCCACTCGCAAACATCACTTGCAAAACCAATGAACACACTCTGCATGAGAAGGACGAGAAGTTGCATCATCAACCGAATGCCCCGATTCGTATTTTATCTTCTTTTAACGGTCCTCAATCTGTCTGCACGCCTAATCCCCGCGTGCAGCAAGCAAACCTGCTTTCACTGCCTTATTACGACTTTGATGCATTTTTATGATTGCTGACGATAATTACTGTAGCAGCATTTTATTTATGAAATAAAAGCCATCACTCCGGAAACTTGTAATTGCTGTAGGCTGTACGTGTTAGAGAGCAAACACTATTTAACCTCAGTGTAGAAAAAAACAAAGCATTGCTTCACTCCCACTCCATCCAATGTGCCGCTACAGACATGGCTGCAGCTCTGCACTGTACATATCAACGCCTCTCAAGGAAAGCAAGTTTATGATGATTTTTAAAGTTGATTCTCTGTTTGAACCAAATTCATTTCACTTTACTAGTAATTTTGCTTTCTTATTGTGGCATGTTTCTTCCCCCCCTCTATACGCTCTGTTTTGGCAGAAGCCAAGGAATCAAAGAGAACAAAATAGCTTTGACGTGCCTGTGCAGGCTGTGAATGTTTTCCAGGGTGGGATGATCAGCCGCACTCAAACTTCATGACTTGAGACTGTGGGGCAAAGGGCTCAGACGGCCTAGCCTCCCCCCTGAAAGCAATGCAAAGCCCAAAGAGATCAGTCATCCTCTCCAAACATCCACTTCCATGTTAGCTCTATGCCTTCTCGATCTGTTCTGATGTTTCTGAAAGGTGTCTACCAACAGCCCGCTTTTTTCCTCAGAGTGGAGAAGGAAGAGTGACATTGCATTTGTTTTTAATTTGCAGTTTATGTCTAAAATAATAAAGTGACCACAGTACAACAGCTCGTTTTGGCTTGCTTTCATTTTCTCTAAAAGTTTTATTTTTTTAGGTACATCAGATTGAAATTTTGTAGCAATTTCACACAGTTTTTAGCATAATAACATGCAACTGAAAGCTGGCTTTTTATCTAACTGAACTGCTATACTAGGACCTGCTTATATCCTTCTACCCTAAAGTACCTCAGAAAAGTACTGTAGCCTTAGGTATGTGGTTTTTAGATTTTAAGTATATGTCAGAAGAAAAGCTGTGTTGTTTATCATCACCACAAAAGCTGTAAAAACCCAACTTAGCTGTTTGTGCACGAAGACTAGTTAATTAGTAAGAGGTGTCACTATGGCTGTAGCAGAGCCCCTGCCCTAACTGTTCAGTTTTTAAATCTCATTCAAGAAATGTCCTTGATTGATCCACCTAAAGGGGAATTACAGATATGTCTTCTGCAACGCAAAAAGGCAAATGGAAGCAAATTGGTCAATCTCTAAAAAAAAAGTACCTAAGAATTACCAAAAACATTGTGAGGGAAATAAAATGGTATAGCAAATATTGCTACACCCCATAGCAAAATTTAGATACATTTCTAAATCTTATATAAATCCAAAAATTAAAACTGTGTGTAATTTGTAATACCCTAGTGTGCATCGGAGCTTCCATTGAATTTTAAACATCCAAGTTCTATGAATACATCAGGAAGATGGAGCCACTGAAGGCCATCATGGGAGGAAAATCCCCTGCATAGGATGTAACATGTGCTGAACTGGCTATGGCCAATCCTACTGATGGTTAGAGAGGTATGGACTGAAGGGCAGCACAGAAGCACTGAGCATAGCAGCACAGGAGCAGGCCTTGAGCACCAGAGCAATAGAGGCCCAGTTCTACCACAACAGGCAAGATCTTGGGTGCAGGCTGTGCAAAGAGGCCCCAGAGGCAATCCAGAGTCCCATAGCAGGGTGTAAGATACTGGCAGTTATTAGAGACATGAACCATCATAACCAAGAGGCTTGTATAGTGTTCAGAAACATCTGTGCAGAATACAAACTTGAGACCCCAAGATGGTGTAGAAAGACAGAGCTAAGATCCTGTTGGACTTCCAGATACAGACTTAATGGTTGAGGCTAAACAACTAGACCTGTGATCATTGGTAGCAACAGAGGACAACCGTAGTGATTGATGTGGCCATCCAAGATGATGGAAACATCTGGAAGAAAACAGAAATACTAAGGGCTCATGGATGAACTAGAAAGAGACTGAAAGATGAAGGCCACTGTAGTGCCTTTGGTCATTGGAGCATTGGGGGCAGTGACCTCCACACTGCAGAAGGGGCTCCAACCTACCTGAAGAATAATCCGACATCTTGTGTAGTGCTTGAGATACAGAAGCCAACCACCAAATTCATAGGTGGGTAATATGCAAATTGTAACATTTACCACTTGTGAAGTAATTTTCCTAATCTAAATTTGTGCATCTTTTTTTAGCACAACTTATAATGAGGTGCAAACTGACAGGCAAAAAAACACCTGTGGTCATTGTTGCCACAAAGGTGGAATTGGTGCAATGCCAGAGGATCGAAAGGCATTTTGTGCACAAGGAAACCTATTTCAATGTCAGAAACAATAGCAGATAACTAATATGAAGAAAATTGCCTCTACAGGCCAGCTGAAATTAATGCAGCAAGACAGTAGATAATCTTTATAGAATTAAACCAAATGAAAGAAATGACTGAACATTTTCTCTCCCTTGATTTATTAACACAATTATGCATAAACACTATTGTTTTATTCATTTTACTTTTGCTTGTGGCACTTTAAGATGGTTACAAGATGTATTCTAAATAATATTTTGTACAATTGTTTCTTTTATCAGTATTACCAACATTGTCATGGCTGTGAACCTCATCTTTCTTTTACAGCCTCTCTCAAACTGCCAGTAAAACACCAAATCTGCTCATTTTAATGGGCGGAATCAAACCTGTTTGCATGCTTAACATTTGTGCATTTTTAATTGATTATGATAATTATCTTGTGATCCCTCTCTTGGTGCCTAAGGACCACCAGAGGAGAATTCCTGACCCCCACTTTGGGAAATCCTGATCTAGAAGGTGAAAAGACTGTGATTCTAGCTTACATATATCTGAAGCTGAAGTGGCGCACCTCTGTATACCCCTGGAGAAAGGCACCAGCACCCCTCGCGACCCCACTTGGGATTAAGTGTGTTCGAAAATGGACGGATGGATTTTGTTTCTGGAACAGTGGCCAGAAAGGGGGCCAAATCCAGTTCTTCAGGAGCATTGGCCCATGTTGACCCCTGTCTAGATCCGCCCATGTCTGATTAAATGACAAGGGGTACAGACCAAAGTCCAATTGAGAATCTATGGCAAGATTTGAAAAATGATGTTAATGGCGTGTTAGTCTGCTACGCCTTTCCTTATCTTTCTAGATGTTTAACCATAAACACTGGTGGTAAAATATACATTTAACTTTGGGGTAGTAAATAGTAGAAAAACATTAGACCGGTGAATACTTTTGTGTTATAAATTATTGTTTTCCTCTCATACGGTCGGAGTGATTCACCTGTCGATTTATAGACGATCTACATGGTGGAGTACCCTCTCCAGGACTGTAGGTGGCAGCAGAGAAATGCCTTATTTCCTGCCAAGACGCGCAGTCACAACAAGAGGAGGAAGAGGAAAAACGACAACTCTGGATCTGGATCGTCGTCGATTACCTTGCGTGACAACACAGGGATCGTCCAGGCTTTGGGTATTAACACTTTTTATTCTCGTTTCTCCGTCGGAGCGGAACGCACGAGCCGCAGCGCGGTTCTGTTGGCAGCGGCGCGCGCTGCTCGGTGCCGCGGCTGTAGGAGCGCAGCCTGTCGGGCTGCAGAAACACGAACCGAGGCTGCTTGGCTGACCAAGATGGCTGGGCGCAGTGAAATGTGAAATATTCTGAGGTTGATTCTTTTCTGCACGCGCTGTTGCTTGTCACGCAAACACCGCATTGGGAATGCATTAGTTGCCAGCAGAACACTGCGTGTGATAAATTGTGTTATTTTCTTTTTATTTGCATTAGCTTCACCACGGCTTAACTCGGTTTAGGGCCTGACGGGTTTTTTTTTTTTTCGGTTTTTTTCTTTTGCATTTCAAAGACGTTTTGCATTGTTGATGTAGGGACTTATTTCTTCATTTTTTAGATAAAAATGTTTTTAATAACGTGTTGCATTAAAGGTAGGTCCGCTTATATTACAATATGAGAGCTGAGCTCCACCCCTGGTCTGTGTCGGATGCAGCCCTGCTCTGTTATGGGAATAAAGAACAAATTTATTTTATTATCTTTAAAGCCACACACCCTCAAACAGTAGGCAATGTTCAAATGTTATAGTAAAAGTAACATCTTCTGCTGTGAGGCGGGTTTCTTCGCCAAACTGCAGCAAAAAAACAGAACCTAGTAAATTACCGGAAGTGACGTAGGGGAGGGAAAACACCTGATCTAACCAGCTGAGTTTAACTTTGTTTACTCTGTTTTAATTATGTATTATTTAGTGTGAAAGATGCAGTTCTTTTTTTTTTTTTGTCCTAGCTAAGAACAAATTCTAATTTCATGAAGATACTGTTATCAATAACTTTTTATTTTTGGTTTATAAACTCTCAGATAGAAGGCAGTTTCTAAGGTTTTTAAGACTGGTATAAAGCTTAGCGACCAGGGGCGGAACTAGATGGGGGGGCCAGGGGTGGCCATGGCCACCATCAGCCAATCATTGGCCATCCCTACCATTTTCTTCCTTCTAATACAGATGGTTGCAGTAGTGGAATATTCAAAACATTAACATTTTTCATATATTAACAATCGCTTGAAAACAAAAACACCATAGTTAATTAAACACATCAATATACTAACATTAAAGATAAGTACAGAATTCAGGCTCTTTACAGAACTAGATTTTGTGGTGATTTTCAAATGCAAAAATCTAGGAGTCTTTGGTTAAAAATATTTTAATAAAAACTTATTAGATAACAAATTTATGGCTTTATTGATCTCACAGTGGGGAAATTGGCTTTATCTAGATATTAGTACTCTTAAATATCAATTTTATGCAGAATGAGTAGGTAAGTAATGACAATTGAAAAGATGTTCGCCCCTGAACTTACACNTTATATTTTAGCAACTCGGATGCTAAAGCTGATCATTTAAAGCTAGAAACTTAAGAAAATGTGGTTAGTAATTTAAGGCAATGCGGTATATAGTAATCTTTAAGGTACTGCATGCTTTGGTATAAATGGGTATCAGCAAGAAAAGGCCTGATAGGTCAATCTGTAGAACTTTTTGAATAGAATATGTCAGTATTGTCCTCTTGTTCTGTTCTGTGTAATCTAAAATAGTGAAGGGTATCCTTTGACCTTTTGATTTTTAAATACTTAAATGTATTTTACTGTTGATGACATCAGCAGGATGTTGTGCAAGTACTAATCCTTAGTAAATACTTATGAAATTGAAAACAGTATTTTTTTATTATCATTATTGGATAAAAATGATCATAGAAGAAAAGCTTATTTTTTAACTGCTTACGTGTTAAAATAAAACTATGCATATTATTTAAATATTGTTTATTTACTATTTAACTGGAGAAAATCTGTGTAAAAGAGATTAACGTTATTGCTGAATAATATAGTCAAATAATTTAGTTTTAGCAAAAGAATCCTATGTTTTTTGTTTTTTATAGTCAATTATAGATTACTGTGTTAATTCTGGATTTACAAGACATTTTTTTTTCCTGCTCATTAAAGATAGTTGGTACATATTAATTTTGTAGGATATCATAAGCAAGTTAGTTTATTTCCTTGATATCATAAAATGTTAAAAACTAGTATAGAGATCCATAATGCAGAGTAATATTGCACAGTTTTTTGTAAAAATTTAGGTAATTTTCTTTTCTAGGTTCATAGCTAAAGAAAACGCAGCATTTTATTTCTCAGGTAAATAGATCGGATCAGAATTGATGCAATAATTGGTACAAAAGGAAGCCCTACCAAACATTTATATGTTTCACATTTTGAGCTGCAATACTTGAATATATGTTATTGTTTTTATGTTTCTGTCATTTCTTGAAATAGTGGAGCTGTTGTCCTTCTGTCATTTGTATGTTTTCATGAATTTAAAAATGGATAATACATTTTCTGGCTTTATTTAAAACCTTTACCCATCATTATGCCGTTCATCGTAGCGTAGCAGGCAGTCATTTCCTGGCATTAGACTAACTTTTCTTTCTCCTCCATCTTGTTGCTGCTCCTCCACAGGTTGCTCCTGTTTGACCGGCACCATGTCCGATTTGCTAAGATACATCGACTACGACCACAAAGCCACCTTCCTGAAGATGCTGAACCAGCAGAGGATGGAGGGCGAACACTGCGACGTGGTGGTGGTGGTGGAGAACATTGAGTTCAGGGCTCACCGCTGCGTCCTCGCCGCCTGCAGCAACTACTTCAAGAAGCTCTTTAAAAAGCAGAGCGACGAAGACAACTCCATCGTGGAACTGGACTTTATCCGCTCCGACATCTTCGAGGAGGTGCTCAACTACATGTACACAGCCCGGCTGGCGGTGAGGAAGAAGGACATCAACATGATGATGTCGTCTGGGCAGATCCTCGGCATCAACTTCCTAGATAACCTGTGCACTCAGAAGAGGGAGCTGACCAACATGAAGACCAGGGAGAACCAGGCGCCGGATGACCACAGCATGAGGGCGCAGGACGCCATCCTGAAGGAGCTCGCCATGGAGGAGGTGAGGAAGAACAGTTTCTACGACCAGGGGATGGACGCCATAGGGCCTGGCGGCTCGCACGTGTCACAGCCGCACAACTACAACACAGGCATGGGCAAGGACCCTCACGCCCACAGCTGGGGCTCCTCCACGTCCAGCACTGACATGAAGCTGGAATACCTCCTCTACGGCCACCGCGACCACAACTCCTGCCAGAGCACCGGAACCAAGACCCTCGACCACAACGCCAAGAAGGAGCGTCTGCTCACCGCCAACCGCCCGTACGGCTGCGAGCACTGCCCCAAAGCCTTCACCACCGCCGCCCACCTCAAGGAGCACCTCAAGATCCACTCTGGCTTCAAGCCGCATCGCTGCCAGGTGTGCGGCAAGGCCTTCATCCGGGGCCCTGACCTCAAGAGGCACGAGAGGGTCCACAGCAACGAGCGGCCCTTCGCCTGCCAGATGTGTGAAAAGGCCTTCAAGCACAAGTCCCACCTTAAGGACCACGAGCGGCAGCACCGGGGCGAGCGGCCCTTCAACTGCGGTTCCTGCGACAAGGCCTTCATCAAGGCGTCAGACCTGAAGCGCCACTGGAACACCATGCACAGCGCCAACCCTCGCAGACAGATGTCTCTGTCGCCCGCCGCCTCCCAGCACGGCCAGGGGGACGCCACGGACCAGAGGGACTGGAAACTGGAGACCGGGCCACACTCGCACAACTCTGGGGACTGCTGAGCCCTCCGACACACGCACACACACACACACACACACACACACACACACACACCGACACATCTCAACTAATCAGAATATCATCCAGAAGTTAATTTATTTCATAAATCTGGAAAGTTTGTCCCCTTTTTTTTTTTTTTTTTTTATTACACAATTGAAACATTCACATTTTTATTTGTTCATTTGGGGGGGGGGGGAATCTTGCCTAATATATGCTCTTAGAAAATAACACAAATTCATGTTTTTATTAAAAAATGTTTTAAACAGAAATGTGATTTTAGAACCTGAACAATCGGGGGAAACTGCTGCCATCACGGTTCTACCTTCACAGTGGGCCAAACTAAGGAGGTCTTTGTAAAGGAGGCTGGTTGAATCCAAACCTATTCAATGAAAGTTAAGTGGAAAGAAAAACTTCAGAAAAAAAAACTTAGTTTAATTCCCTGGATTCTGCGTGACGTTCAGGTCCGTTTTCTTGCATCTAAGCACAATAACAGCAGAGTCCTACAAGCAGCCTTTAGAAGCGAGGGGTTTGCCTCATCCTGCTGGAAAATAAAAACATAGCAAACATAAAGCTTGTCAGCAGAAGGAAGCTAAAAAGTGCTCTGGAAATAATTCAGTTACATGAAATACAGAAATCATCCAAGTAGAGGGGTGTGGCTTGATTAAAAAATAAAATAAAATCCCCTGTACTGAATATGGCTGCAGATGTACGTTACTATCACACTTTTTCCTTCCTCTAAACTTTCCTACCATTCTTTTTCAGAGGTTTACCCTCCTTATCAAGGATGTCAGCAGTCTTTTGTCCTTGTGAAGGTCATAACATTTCTGATAAGGATTAATTTTTAGGTAATTTCACTAACTGTAAGCTATTATCATTGAAAATCACCCCCCCAAAAAGAAACCATAAGCATTTTAATCAGTAGAATATATCAGTTACTGTTGTTTCTTTTTTTTTTATTGTTTAAATAATTAACTTTTTGATAATATTCTAATAAATTGAGACCTGGACTGACCTGCTAACATGCACACTTTAATTCCCACCTATACACACTGATGGAGTCACGAGGACAGCGATGGGAGTGCAGAGCAGGAGCGGAGCAGAGCATGTTCATAAAGACTGAGGCTGTATTATTATGATTATTATTATAATTCTAAAGAGTTATGTCCTTCCCACCTGTAAAGTCATGTAAATGTTTAGTTCACTATACTATACATATATTTTTCACAAAGCATCATCGCTATCTAGATATCTGAGGGGTTCTCATAACTTTATTTTTCTTTAATTTTTAACAAAATATACATTTAAGTGTTCGTTTAAACTTGTAAGATTTTTATGGAGATAAAAGAGAGTCAGTGGAGGGAGGGAGGGAGGGGGAGAAAAGAAGATTTTTCTGCATAACATTTGTTGCATTGAGTATATTCATGTGGATGTTTTTAAATGGATGTGTTTAGTTGTATTGATTGATATTACACTGTAAAAGTAAGACGCAGATGAAACCAAAGTCTTGGGCTCCTGACGGATCGTCAAACCCAAGCAAAACCGGCCAACTAGATTTACTGTTATACAGTATGACTGTCATCCGGGGCGGGGGGGGGCTATCAACAGATAATGATAGGTGTCTGTATATACTGTAGCTTAGTTTGTTGCACAACTAGAGTTCACAATATTGAAATCATGCACATATAACATTGTCCTACTACACTTTGAAAATAAACACCATTTGCTGTGTTTTAATGTTGTGTTTTTGTGGGAAAAGACAAGCGAGCGCATGCTGGAGACCTTTTAGGGTCTTAAAAATATTTCCATTTTTAAAACCCTTAAAGCTCTTTGAAGAGGTATGCCATTTATTTTATTATTAAATGTTGGAAGTTAGTAATGGTTCATCCTCTACTGGAGGATTCTGTGTTATTAAAATGTCACAAAATTACTACGACGGTGTGGTTGAAGAGATTCAGCTTTCCCTGCAAACAGGAAACCTGCTTCAGTACCTGAGTGAGCCAACAGAAACATCTTCACGTTCCTTTTCCCCTCTGGAGAGTTAATGTAATGAGGCTTGACATTTCAGGTTATAGTTAACTAAGTTTTACTGAAGTGCTTGAATCACATAGAAACAGTTTGTATTATTAACACCGTTTTCCCATCCTGTGCAGAGACCCACTCTGCAGCCCCCTGCAGGAGGCCTCAAGGCCTCCTCTGGCCAGAGAGGCTCAGTTTGCTGTGAAAAGGTGTTTTATCATCAATCGCATCATAAATACTCAACAGGTCACTTCCATATGGCAACAATTCATCTATAAATACTTTCTGTTAAGATGATGGTAAACCGGCTCTGTTTAGGATATAAACAGTTAATCAGATGAACTCAGCCTGTTTTCAGGTCAAAGGGATGAAAGAGAGCACATGCAGATAGTCACAATAAAAGCTGAGCCTGTAGTTATGTCTAGGAAAGAAGCAAGACTAAATGATAAGAACTACTAGTATGCCTGGGGATTAAGAGGGTAGTGCTCTGTTTGGAACTTAAGGAACAATCTGATGTAAGATGTAGCTTGGTTATTTAAGGCTTTATGTGTGAGAAAGAGGATTTATAATATATTCTGGATCTAACAGGAACCCAATGAAGAGAATCTAAAATAGGAGAAACATGATCTCTTAATTTTCATCAGAATATTTAACATTTTGTGGATTTCCTGAAAGTAAAGAATTACAATAGTCCAGCCTAAAGTAAAAAAATCTATGGCCAAGTTTCTCAGCATCAACCCTGGATACGATATTTCACATTTTTTGCAATATTCTGAAAATAAACCTGTTAAATATTAGATTCAGATGATGCATCCTGAATAAAATAACACCAAGATTTATGACTTTTTCATATATAGACCGTTTGGTGACTGACTAGGCAGTCTAGTCTGAAACAAAGCAGAACATTTAAAGTCGTCCAGGTTATTATGTCTGTTGACATGCTTGTAATCTAACTAGCAGGTTAGTTTCATCAGGTTTTACGGAAAGATGTAGCTGAGTATAGGGACGCACGATATTGGGATTTTGGCCGATATCTGATATGCCGATATTTTAAAACTCATGTAGCCGATAACCGATATCGATACCGATGTTAAAGCTGGACAAAAATAAGTAGTCTTTGAAATTTCTGACGCTTTGAAAAATAATATACTCAAATATATTTTCATATGCTGATATCAAATAGATTTTTAAAAACATGGTATCGATCTATTTTACTTTCAAAATCTCGTGAAATTTCATCGTTCTGTTACAAACTCTCGTGATATTTTGCAAATTCTTGTGAGATTTTGTTAGTAAAATAGATCGACACCACGTCAATATATCAACATATAAAAATTTCGTGAATTTTCAGGGGATTTCGTAGCATAACGATGACATATAGCAATATTTCATTAGTAAAAGAGATTGATATGGTGTTTTTAAATGGCAATATATCAGCATATGAAGATATTGTGATATTTTAATGTAGCAATAATTTCCCTCGTCTTTAGAAGTTTTTAAGTCTGTAAAAAATAAATTTTTGAGGAAAAAGAAGAAGTAGCATTTCTTTCTTTAGAAACCCAGAAGCTGATCAAATATCGGGTTAAATATCAGTGTGGTGGCCAATGTCCGATATAAAGTTTTAAGGCCGATACCGATAGGGGGCCGATTATATTGTGCATCCCTAGCTGAGTATCATCAGCATAACAGAGGAAGGAACCCATCCTGTCTGATTATTTTATCATTTGGAAACATATACAGTAAAGAACATTATTAACTACCGGTATTATTATTATCAATAAACTGAAATCTCTTGGAAAAATTAAATATAAAAAAGCCTAATGCTGCTACTTTAATTCTTACAGGACACGTCCTTAGAAAACTTTTTTACTGCTTCTAATATAATACATTTACATTAAACACATTTTTTTTACTACAATCAATTATAAAGTACGTACCTGACTCAGGAGCTGTTTAGGATTCTGTTTAATTGTTTTTTGGTTTGTTTTGTAAAGTTGTGGGAGAAGTTGGGTTTTATCATTAAACTTCAATGATTTTAATGAAGAAAAGTTTCTAAATAAAATACAATTCCTAAAGAAGTCCTTAAGTACTCTGGATCTAAATAAAGGCAATATTCTCAATCCAAATATTATATATTTTTAACTAACACTTTGTTTTTTTTTATACGGTGAGTTTATATTCCCTTAAAAGCAAGGATTGATTTGGTTTATTGCAGGCATTCTGCTAGCGAACAGTCACAGTTACCAGCAATCTTCTAACCTCTGCGTTTTATTTAGGTTATCAGGCTAAGGAAATGCTTTTTGTAATAAAGTTTGTTAGTTTACATCTAACATGATTGCCCTTCATCTTAAAGGGAAAAAGGAAACATGTCAGCCTCTGTCCCATACTCTGCAGGCAACACTAGATGGTGCCCTGTTCAAAGTGATTGACCTCATGCTGCCCAGCTGTGACCTCCTGGTGTCCACTGTCCAGCACTATGGGAACCACAGAGGATACAGTTAGGAATAAAATGGTTCAGGTTTTATTTAGGTAGGTTCAGGGTGTAGAACAGGGGCTGACTGTGTGAAATGTATGCGCCGTCACACCTAGCTGTTTTTCATGCATTTACATGAGCTCTAGAGGATGATGGTGGAGGATCAGAGTGCTGCAGATTCTGCAGACCAGTGGGAGAACATTGCTCTTCATGCCAACAAAAGAAAAGCTTGAACATATGGGATTTTAAGGGGGTTAAACTTTATGGAAAAATGACATCATTGTCTAATGGAAAAGTCTTGCCTAGCCTCACTGAAAGGAGATGCCCAAGATCTGTTTTCTGCATTTCCTGGCCCTGTTCTCGTGTGTGTTTGAGTGAGTAGCAAGGCTGTGTGTGCATGTGTGCGTTAGGCTATACCAATGAATGTGAAATAAATGGAAGTGAGTGCAGCAGAGTCAGGATATGGATTCGAATCACACCGCCAGAGTGATAGCGGCTGGGAGTGTGCACCTTTGTGTGGCGATTGAATGTTGTGTCTGTTTTCGAAGGAGGTTAAAACTCAGTGTGTGCATGCAGAGCGACGACTGGACTGAT